CTTTTTGGGGTTTACCAAAAAAAAAAATTAAAAAAATGTTCCAAACTACTTTGGCACTCCCATCTCCTTTTGACACCCCTATTGTAACTAACGCTTCCAACTTCGTCAGCGTAATTCTGTCTTTTAAGATGATTGTACATCTAATTAATGAAGTAAGTGGTATAATTATGTATTAAAATTAACAGATCATACTATTAATATGATTTATTAATACATAAATATTACTTTGATGAATGTTTTTTTAAATTGAGTGGGGGTGCCATATGGAACTCTTACCAAACTAAATTTTACATTTGATAGAATTACACTGAGTAACTTCTGTTAAGATTAGTCACACAAAATATTAGTTATACCTCAGCTACCTGCCTAAAAAATGTTTAAATCCAAATCAATATTGCTGGACAAAAAGATCCCCTTTTCAGATAACATATATTTAAACATAAGCTCACTATTCTTGTCTCTTTTTGCTTAACTTTTGACACTGAATTACATTTCACACCATAAATTATGCAATTTATAAAATATCAAAAACCTAAAATAATAAATTGTATTAATAGTTTCAGGTTATTACACAACTGAGTGAAGACTGGTATAACCCTCTTATTAGTATTAGAAATTAAAATATCAATGATATGTACCCCTGCTTGCTTTGAATTTGAATTGTTTGACAAGCTTTTGTATCATTTATTGATATTATTCAAGTTTATTCATTTGCTAAAATATGCAGTTAATGAGTAAGAATTTTGCTGATTAATAAAACTGGTTCGGCTGAAGTGCTGAAAAACGTTAAATCGACTTCAAATGTAAAACAAAAGAAATTACAGATTTGAACTTTAGTACAAACCTAAATTCACGTTATTTTGGAAATCTAATTTATGTTCAAATATTACAGATTACAATGACTTTTTTATTAACTTAACCCTAGATTCAGGTACTAAGTAATGCGGCTACTGCCAAACAAGATACACGTGTCACAAATACTGAGAGACACGGATCTTAACTGAGTTAATATACCGAGAACATAGGAAATTACAAATTGCAAAGTACTAATTAAGTACAATTTCATTTCCATATTTTATATTTATATAATACGTGTTCTTAAATAACTTTCACAGTGACTGGTTTCAATTTGTTTCAATTAAATTATACTTGTACAATGCAAGAAAAGAACATATGGTATTGGTAATCATATTTTACGTACGACGTAACGAGTGCAACAGGTCCTTGATCTTTTAACTGTCTACAACTTTTAAGACAGTACTATAACAGTTAATATCAATGCGCTTCTCTGTTGAATCTTACCTGAAAAGCAACATAAAACGTCGACCCCCCATGAATCCATTGGAAAAAACATTCTTCTTTACCAGCATCCACGTGAACTTTGAACTCGTACGCAATGCCGAGTTTACTATCAAAAGTGTACGTTTCTGAATTACAATAGCATAGTAAGTTTAACACTACAACCGTGAGCAGAAAACACACGTTGCTAAACGCCATTATAACCGTAGCGCTATCTAGTGCAAATCAACACAACGGCAGGTTGCTTCCTAACAAAATAAATATTAAGAGCTATAGGATATAAGGAAATTACAAAAGAAATTTAAATGAAAATAAACTACTAATACACAAATAGAAGCATTGATGTACAAAGATATATTTATAGAAAAAATGAACAGGAAATGTTAAACCGAATGAAACAACGCAGACATAGAACATGAAAGATTATTACTGGTGCAGTAAATTAATATTAAAGTTAAAAGTGTAACTTTCTTGGATTATTAAGATGTTACAACCATATTAAACACACTTATATTTACTGTGTCTTTTAGATGCTAAAAAAATGTTTTAACTAACTTGTTCGCAACTGGTGAGATCAAACCCAGCTTTTAGCTTATGTTAGAAAACAGTTATACTTAAATACATGATTTTGATATTTGTGAATATTATAATTAAATCTTTTTTCGATATAACATCGTAATATCATTCTCTTCCTAAGGCTTTTCTTTCAAAAGATACATTTTAATAGGTAATACTCAAAGAATGAGTGAAAAAGGATTGCGTACATTCTATTAAACCGATTTTGGAGTCTCACCTCGTCATTACAATCTATGTCGCAATGTCTGGTCATGTTCTATCTGACGACCGTACGTCTGCAAGTGTAGTTTCTGTTGCAAAAGGCTTCGTCATAAGACTATCGTGTCCAAAGCACAATACTTCTCCCTGCAGGCTTTCAACAATCGATCTAGTGTATGAAGATGATGGTTTCCCAGCACATGTTTCAATAGTCCAATCGCACAGAAATCCATAGGCGATTTGACTGGTGTGTCTTCTTTTCATTCTCCAATTGCTTGAACAGGAGGTATGAACGGAAACTTTATTTGTTTTAGCACTCACCCTGTTGGCTTCGTTTCCAGAAGAAATCCTTCTTTAATATTTTGCATACTGTTGCCTGGGGCACGTGGGTGGCTTTTGCTACCGACTCTCGTGGACTCACACCTGTTGCAATTTAGTTTTCCAAATTCCTTTGTTTTACAATGTCATTAAGTACAAGAGATATCCCCGACTTTGAAATTCTAAATCCCCAATCTGATCACATCTATATGAGCTCAACGTATAAATAATTTGTATTGGAAAGGGATACTACATACCCTTTATAAAAGCCATTAATTTTCGGTGAAATCGCACAACTTACGATATTCAAACTAATGGCAAAATGTATTTCTGATACATTCCTTTCCATCGCGACTATCAGCTGTGGTTGTTACGGGACTTGCAGATTTACATAACCTACTCAACCCTGTATATATCTTCCAGATGGAAACAATAAGGAGTTTTTTATACACTGTTTGTTTACTTTGACAGATTTTTTTTCTTTAAAATTATTAAATCTTATTTTTACTTCAGAATGGAACCTTTTTACTTTAATTTAATGATTAGCAGAAGACCGAATTTGTATTTCTTAAGATCATTGCTTTTATGCGGGTCGAAATTTCAAATAACAATGTTATTATTCATAACATTTTAATTCTATTCCTATTGATACATTGAGACAGAAAATTAGCCATTTAATAATTTAACTTACAAAGTAGTTGAACATACGTTTAATAACTACAAGTAAAATCACTAAGATTTGTTTGTTTGTTGTTAAGCACAAAGATACACAATGGGCTACCTATGATCTGCCCACCGCGGGCGTTGAAACCGGATTATTTTAGCGTTATAAGACCTAAGACTTATCACTGAGCCATTGGGGTAGGGAGGGGGCAAGGTCACTGAGGAAACAGACCGTTGTAGGAGCTTGGTTAAAATATATGTTCGTAAACACACACACATGAAATATATATTTTATAGAAACAAAATTTCTATAGTATGGTTTTTGAAGTATGTTTAGAAATCAAAATCATAACGAGGATCACTATTTATTTATAATGTTAATTTCACGTTAAGTGTCTTTTATGCTGGTCCACATTTCAAGAATGAAACTTAATGGTATTAACTTTTTTTGAATCTCCTCAATAAAGTAATTTCTTGTTTATTCGAAGGCTTTGCTCATCATTGGCCCTTTTTGAATTGATGAATATGTTATATGCTCCTAAGATATAAGACGTGCTTTAATGCACTTGATTTATTCGGCTTCTTGCTTGCAACAAGGGAAGGTAAGCAGATAAACTAAATGTTTTCAATAAATAAATGCGATTTGTATATCAGAAGACATTCTGCGGATGACATCCTGGTTTTAAATGCATATCAGTTGAACCCGCGCATACATTTTATGAACTGGGATGATGCGCACTTGTTTTTAACACACAAAGAATATTTCCAGGTATATATGGCAAAGCTAAAAAACCTAGGCCATTCTGGAATAGAGACGTCATTTAGAAGAGGGAGGGGGGGGGCAACAGAAGCGGCAAGGAGGGAGCACGCAAGGCCAGCGTTCTATGCTCTCCCATAAGTCTTTGGTGAAATTATCCTGTTTAGGATTATCATACGTTGATAGTTTACCAAAGTTCCTTTGATTAAGTGATCACAAATTATTCATTCAATCATATAAGTAGGAAAAACATTTTTGCATAAGAAATTCTCGATGCTATCAAATTCTTTATGCGAAAATTCATATGTGTGTTCGACGAAATAAGATTTTCACCAAGTATTCTTTAAACACAGGTGGTATATAACTTGTAAAATTAACATTAAGACTCGTTATTATAAAATGCTATGTTAAAGCTACTTTTCTATAATTTAGGAATACAAAAAGACTACATTTTGAGTATCCTAAAGATAAGTCGCAAATACAGTTTCCGAATGAATGGCAAACAGTTAAATTTATTATCGAAACGTTTAAATTTTAAGGTTTATCTTTTACACTTTAACATCAGTTTAAACAATATTATAAAGTTCCAAAACAATTACTGGGTTTCTAAATTAAACAATTTTTTTCTCTAATTACTTAAATTCGAATCTACAGATGCTTTTTATTTATCAAGACAACGAATAACACATTTTTCTGAAGTTAAGTCTGCCTTTTAATCATTTTAAAAAATTATAGAAAGACAAAATAATTAGATGCTTGTACAATGTAGGAACATTTTTTGGATTAAAATAAACTAATTTAATTCGATATAAGGTTAATGGCTAGTTTATAGAACAACAGAATACAACAGTTTTTAACTGTTTATTAATAATCTTGTCTGCGAATGGTGAGAAAGCCTGAGCTCTTGGTTTAAAATTCAGTATACCTAATTGATTAAAACTTCATTTTCTATAATTTGAACAGTTTTTACTATTACTATCTAAACAACCAATCTGGTCTAAATCTAAAGAACATTTCAGCAATATTATAACTCAGGTTAGTGAAACAGAGTTAATTTTACCTTGATAAGTATAACCCTCATCAACAATTTTTGAATCTAAGTAAGGAAGAAACGTCAGCATTAAAAAAAGTTTAGCTAAAAACCCCAATACCATCATTATTAAATCCGAAAAAGGAAATAGTGTAATTATTTTGGAAAAAAAAATGTTATCAGTAAATCTGAAAAACATCTTGAGAGATTCGACCAAATTTGTCAAGCTTTACCAAGATCCTACTGATATATAAAAATACAAATATATTACCAAGAAATTTACTCAGGAATTGTTTGTTTTGGAATTTCGCGCAAAGCTACACGAGGGC